TGTATGCAGATATGATCTGGACCTGCAAATACATGGATGTTCATTGGTTGGTCAGAAATTTGGCAAGGCCTGTGGAACTGGGGCCACCTGGGCTGTGGCCGTACCTTGAAAATTTTATTTTAAGTTGAACAGCATGTTGATAAATAATATAATGTAATAAAATCAGATAAAACATAGCATAGATGAAAATAAATAAACAATGAAATGAACAAACAAAAAAAATCCTGCATAGTTCTTTTCTACCCGTTTTATGTTAAACAGTGCTTAATGTGACTTATTTGGTATATATCGGGATCACAGTCAAAGCAATAAAATAAATCTTAAATCGCTGCTTACATAAGTGATTGGTTTAATTCTGTGCTGATTTCATTTTAACCAATCAGGTGGCTGATGCCTGCCCCCACCCATCAAAAATATGTTCTGCAGTCCATACAGCAAATTATCTTATCTTTAATCATTGTCTACTTTTATTAGCAGAAGACTTTTGTTGCATGAACAACATTAGCATCTGTCAAGAGTAAAAAATGTAACAGAAATGTTAAAAAGGGTAGATTAGATATGCGAAGATGACATGCCACTGGGCTAGGAAGCCATGATCTAAAATTCCATGCACTAGACCATCATAAAAAAAGCATCTCCACCAGCCAAGAACTGAATGAGGATTCACTTGGAAGTGGACTGTGCTCTTTTATTTTTGGCAGTCCTCAATTCTTCATGGTTGAGTTTTTAGTGAACACCTGAGTCTATAACTGAGGCTATAACACATCTATTTTCCATGTGTAAGTTGTCCACTGGCCCTTCATCAGTAGTCAGTAAAATGGCCAATGAGTATACACTATGTCCAAAAGTTTATATACATCTGCTTTTCCAACATTTCTGCTGAATTCAAGGGTATTAATAGAAAGTTTGTTTTGCTACAGTCACAGCCTCTACTCTTCTGGACAGGCTTTACACTAGACATTGCTATGAAGATTTGGTTGCATTCAGTTACAAGAGTCTTTTTTTCCAAGCTGAGGACAAAGCGGTTCTGTAAGTGGATAAAAGCGTCTGGTAAATGCCGTAAATGTAAAATGTAACTTTTTGAATCGAGTAACGTACATTTTTAAGCAAAGTCTGTCAGGTTAAATTGTAAGCATAGTAATGCACAATGCTGTGTTTCCTGAATTTTTATTCAAAAATATGGACTGGAAGGCATAGAGTCTCCCCTCTTAAATGACTGCATAGACTCAGATATGATTTGTACTTTATCTGTATGGCACACTTCAAGTGACGAAGCAAACCTGCAGGAGTATGAAACCCTTTGCTGCCAGTCGTTTGCACTGCGGGGAGAGTTTTCATGTCTCTGCTTTGTAGTTGTGGATTACTGCTCTGATTCCTCTGCCTCTACAAATAGGAATTTTCTTTCCGCTGCATATTTGCATATCTTTGCATATTTACTCATTTTCTATGAACACACCCTCCAGTCTCTTCCATTTCTGATCACGTAATAAATGATCTGTCTCTCTTTTTTCTCTCTCTCTCTCTCTCTCTCTCTCGCTCTCTTTACTTTAAATATGTGCCCTGGAGAGGCACTTTTACTTTTATCATTTTATTTCAGCTGTCCTTACGCTAAATTTCAGATAAAAGGTCAGATCAGTTTGCTCATTTTTTTCCCTGTATGATTTACAATCCATGTGTCATAGATTTTAGAATTTGTATATTTTTAGATTTTATGAACATGCTGTATCTGCTGTATAGACCTATTAAAAGTTTTGGGACACCTTGCCGACTTAAATTTTTTTATTACTTGATTTTTACTGTTACAAGTAAAAAAAAATCTCTGTTAAAGGTTTTGTTAACATGAAACACTTAATTCCTTATTCTAGGTATCTTTTATAATTCTCAACAATAGAAAGTCCCTTCCTCGGAAGGGACTCCTTGAAGACAGTTTTCTTTTCCAAACTAAGGGGGTAATTAGCATATAATGATTAGCATAATTTAATTAATTAGCATTATTCCCAAGGTAGGTCCCTTCTCTCAGGTATTTTGTAGTTTTTGCAAAAATGTGAAGATCATGAAAAAACTTTAATATGTTAAGTTATTGCAAACCAACAACAAAAACATGCTCATTTATTTGACACATTTTAAAAAGCTAGATCTCTACAAACGTTTGACAGGCAGTGTAGACTTGACTGTGAGAACCAGAGAAGTTGAAGTTTGAAGTATATTGTTAATCCGAAGCTTATGTTTTTAAAGGATAGAACTGTCACAATGATGAAATTTTAGCTGACAGTTAATTAATAATAAATCATGGCAATTAACAGTTTAATTGATTGGCTGTTTAGCTACTTAGCTGTTGATACTTAGTTGCTACCAACTGATGACAGACACAGCTTCAGCTCAAATAAAAAGGTGTTAGAACACTAAATCAGACTTTCACGGTTTTTGTAATGCCCATGATTTGTCTTTAGAAATTTGTTTTCTTCTTTCTTTGATTTAGATGTAAACTTACAATTGTGAAAGCTAACAACTGTTTAAAATAATTTCGGGCAGCTTAAATAATTTTGATCACCTCCAGTAATTGTAACAGACTATTATGTTATAATTGTGATAGGTCTATTAAACAATTGTTCTATTGTTTTTAGACAATAAAAAGAAAAAAAAGAAAAATGAGAGAACAAATAAAATCCCTCTCAACAACACCCCATCTATGCTGCACCACTGCACCATAAAAGGTCATTCGACTAGTATATATATATACACATACATACATACATACATACATATAAACACATACACAGATATAAAAACACAGAATATAATACAGTGAGAAGAAACGTGACATTGCTTAAAAAGGAAATAAAGACTCCATGTTTTCTACATATGTCAAGATAGGTTGCAAGGTCTTATAGAACTTATGACCACAACCAGTCACAGAGTAACAAACTTTTTCTAGACTCACATAATGCATTAAATCCCTTATCCAGTATTTGAAAGTGGGTGGGAACTCATCCTTCCATTTCAGTAGAATAAGCCGCCTGGCTAAGAGAGTGGCAATCGCCCTTTTGGCAGGGTTATCTAAGTGAGACTCCTGTAAAGTCACTCCAAATATTGCCGTAATAGGAGATGGCATCAATGATCTCTTAAAGACACTTGAGAGGAAAGGAAATATTGACTGCCAGAATATAGTTAATTTTGGACAGGACCAAAACATATGAGAGAGAGTGGCGGGTTCTGTTTTACACCTGTCACACATAGGATCAACACTTGCAGTAAATTTAGCCAGCCTAACCTTGAACTAATGTAGATGATGGACTGTTTTAAACTGGATGATGGTGTGCCTTAAACAAATTGAAGAGGAGTGTATTCCATCCAAAATATCTTGCCACATCTCTGTTGATATCTGTGTGTCAAGTTCCTCCTCCCACTGTTGTTTCAATAAAGTTAGAGGCTTCAAATTATATGAATTAAGCAGAGAGTACACCACACCAATGCATTTCTTAGACTGTGGGTTCATCTAAACCACTTATCCTTCTGGGTCGCGGTGGGGTGCTGGAGCCTATCCCAGCGTTCATCGGACGGAAGGCAGGATACACCCTGGACAGGTCGCCAGTCCATCGCAGTGGTTTTCAATATGATATCTAAAATGGAGTGAGGTGGTAATGATGAAAATTGCGAATAACTTGATGACATAAAACGAAGCTGTAGGTATCTAAAAAATGTGATTGAGGAATATTAAAACGTGTTCTAAGTTGCTCAAAAGATATAAAGGAATCCTCAACAAACAAGTCTTTAACTATTCTGGTTCTTTTCTCAACCCAAAACTTGAAGGCACTAGCGGCAACAGAGGGGATAAACATATTATTTTTTGTTATTGGGCTGTAAATAGAAAATTTGTTAAGTGAAAAAGCCCTCTTAAACTGTGACCAAATCTTAAAGAAATGTTTCACAATCGGATTTAAGGAATCAGTTGTTCAATTTTTTTTTTACCTGATCTCTGTATGCTGCATCTACTGGATAAACAGAGAAGCACATTCAGTGGCCGACTGTGAGATCTCAGAGCGCCAAGTGAGATCTTTCTTACCCACTGCTATAAGGCTCTACCACGAGTCTCCTTACTGCAGGGATGGTACTGATCTCCTGCTGTCTGAACTGTGCTGAACCACATCACTGTATCTCCTCTCCGATTAATACACACTGTGCAATATATCATAACTACTACTGTAATGACACTTTCACTATGCACTTTACACTGTAATATTGATGCAACTCCGAGTTAGTTATGTCTATAATATGTGCTTTTAGTTTACCTCATACCACTCAGTGCCTGCTGTCATGTAAATACAACAAATCTGTCTCATATGCCATGTAAATACGCAAATAGATATACTTTTATTTCTTTGTACTTTAACTTCTGTCTAGATTTATTTCTATTTTCTATTTTTCTGCATAGTATATGTAAGTTTATGTGCAATTATATGTCTTGCTACTGAAACACTGCAATTTCCCTTCGGGATCAATAAAGTTCTTTCTATTTGCATTTCTCTGTGCTTAAAAACGAACAGAACACCTGCTGACACTTTCTGTACAAATCTTAATTACAAGCCATTTACCACTTGCTAAATTCCTTGATTAAACACTGGAAATATGTAAAAATCTCACACAAATATCAATCAACCATTACACAGTTAAACAATACAGATCTAGGGAAAACATTTTACCAACATTGTTCTTATGAAGTGTTTATCCAACTTTTAAGCACTGAAGCAACATAGTGAAAAGTAAAATGTTTTTCATGCATATTGAGGCAGAAACCTGTCAACACTCCATCCACTCCACTACACTGGTAATGAATTACCACAAATTCTTAGTTATAAGTGTTTCAAGTCGGCAGGTTTTCTGTTATTTTCTAAGTATAGGGAAGCATACTTATTAGCGAATTATGGGCCATGATTTTATCAAATTATTGGCCAACATCCCCAACTTCTCTCACCAACATGATTCTTGCCTTTCTTTTTCAGGTATAAGGGCTTTATTAAAGATTGCCCCAGTGGACAGCTGGACTCAGCTGGCTTTCAGAAAATCTACAAGCAGTTCTTCCCCTTCGGTGACCCCACCAAGTTTGCTACGTTCGTCTTCAATGTCTTTGATGAGAACAAGGTAATGAAAGGTCAAGTCCAGACCTGGTGGCTTTAGTGAAAGAAAAGGACAGGAAAACATGGTTACTGTGACCACGAAATGGGGCACTTAGTGAAAAGAACACCGGGTGCTATATGCAGTCATGAATTAAGTGCAGGTTGATTTTATTTGTTTGTTTATCTGTGAAGTACACAATTACTGACCAAAACAAACTTTTTTCTTTATTATCACAGGTGATATTGTTAAAACACACCAAAAACATTATTGGTGAAATATACCAAAACCCTCTCACATTTCTTTGTGACACCAAAAAACACATTTATTTTCAATAATTTAGATAATTTCATATTTACTATACAAATAAATACAAAATTATCACCATCACTGCTACTGTTTACTGTTCAGATTATAACAAATATGTAGACATATGCTGTCTGGGCACTGCTTTGTAGAGAGATTGTATCTATGTAGTTTGTAACTGTTTTAGGTTACTTACTTATGGTAACCATATATATTTATTGACATTATTCAAATTTGATAGGGAATGACTGTCATTTGATAACTTGTTGGTGTATCATTAAAAATGATACCTGTTCCATCCCTATAATGTGTGTGTGTGTGTGCATGTACACCGATCAGGTATAACATTATGACCTTGTCCTTGTTTCTACGCTCATTGTCCATTTTATCAGCTCCACTTACTATATAGGTGCACTTTGTACAATTACAGACTGTAGTCCATCTGTTTCTCTGCATACTTTGTTAGCCCCCTTTTACCCTGTTCTTCAGTGGTCAGGACCCCCATGGACCCTCACAGAGCAGGTACTATTTGGGTGGTGGATCATTCTCAGCACTGCAGTAACACTGACGTGGTGGTGGTGTGTTAGTGTGTGTTGCACTAGTCTGAGTGGATCAGACACAGCAGTGCTGCTGGAGTTTTTAAACACCGTGTCCACTCACTGTACACTCTATTACACACTCCTACCTTGTCAGTCCACCTTGTAGATGAACAGATAGACTACAGTCTGTAATTGTAAAACTACAAAGTGCACCTATATAGTAAGTGGAGCTGATAAAATGGACAATGAGCGTAGAAACAAGGAGGTGGTCATAATGTTATGCCTGATCGGTGTATGTGTGTATGTGTGTGTGTGTACGGAGTGTGCATTCGCCTCCTCTGCCTGCTGACACATTAGCAATTTAAAAGATCTCCTCAGCAGACTTGTCTGTGAAAGCCAAATCTTCATTCACACCTCCATATTGCAATGTCAGACTGACATGATAAATATGAATAAACTGTCTCTCTGTAACAGTTTTATGTGCAACGTTTAACAGCCTCACACTAATAAAAACTCTGCATGCTTTTGGCTCATCAACTACTTTACTATAACAATTTACACGTTATTGGCTCTACAATCTTTAGTTCTTTTTTAGTTGGATTAGTTTCACCTGGGGAGGTGCTATAAGGTGATTACCAACAAGATCTGTGGTTTTAATCCGACATCAATATGCAGTGACCAAAATTGTTTTAACAATTGTGGAGTGAATAATTTCCTATAATTGAACCCAGAGCTCACTCAGTTTTAGTAGTCCTGCTCCAATATTTACATATGTTAGGGCTAAGACATTTCAGTTTGGGCTATCTGCGGGACTTTGGGGAAGTTACACAGATACTTAATCTCGTAGTAATCAAATCCCTTACAAATGACACTAGAAAACCCCCTATGGGAAAACTAATATAGCTCCAATACTGATTTAGCTACTTTAATGTCTATAAGTGACTGTAGCAGTTAAACCACTGAAAATCAGGCCCTTTTGACTATGGAGACAAGGTGGAATGAAATCAGTTGAGTCCTTTAATCCATCTTTTGGTGAAGTAACTGTCAGATAGTCCTTGTGATGAGACTTTAAAAGGACATTACTTGTCATTTTCTTTCTTTGTATCTGTATCCATCTCTCTCTCTCTCTCTCTCTCTCTCTCTCTGTGCAGGATGGACGTATTGAGTTCTCAGAGTTCATACAGGCTTTGTCTGTTACCTCCAGAGGAACACTGGATGAGAAACTCAGATGTAAGAGCAAAAGCCAATGAATGCATCCATTTCCACTACTCTCACACCTCTGTGTTTGAATCTTTATTCATATCAAGGGGGTCATTTTAACAAATTCTTCATTTCTGCTATTCAAATATCAATGTTTTAAAATGACTGGTCTCAGATATCCCAATGAGAAAACATTTTTGCATTGTAGGAATAAAAAAATGAAAACGGTAAAGGTTCTTCATTTATTGCACATAGCTAGCATAAGAGGTGATTGATTTAATGATTTGTGTTTTAAGTAGAAATGCACTGATTGAAATGCATGAAATTTTATGACCAATTCTGAATTCTTTACAGCCTCATTAGCCAAATTTTTAAAAACTGAAGCTCACACTGTGGGATAAATGAACACACAAAACACACAAGCATATTTCCAGTACTTTAACCAGAGTGTCAATATAATTAACGTGATTTAATGAGCCAAGCTGGCATTTTAAATGTGTCAATAAAAATCATTTGCTTTCTTAAATAGCATGAATTTGCATATCAAACAAACTATTAATTTCTCATTTGGTTTATTAGACACTTAAATAAAAATAAATAAATGTTCTGCTTCTGCCTCTTTATGTAGATACATAATAACAATTATACATGAGTTTCTTAATATGTTTGCATGGTGTTTGTGTTGCAGGGGCCTTTAAACTTTATGATCTTGACAATGACGGCTACATAACTCGAGATGAGATGCTAAACATTGTGGATGCTATCTATCAAATGGTGGTGAGGTCATATATTCCCATGCAGCGCTCTCTCTCTCTGTACACTGACAGTTAATGTTCTATTCATGGAGAAAGAGAGTGTAATTTTCTGTTGCAATTCAGCACCGTAAGAGCTTCCAAATGCATATCTGTGAAAATACCAACCTTTATTTGCATTTATCTGAGTGTATGTGCATATGTGCGTGTTTGTGATGATATTCTGCCAGCCAAGACTTCAGTGTTGCTTATATTGAAGTAGGAGCACACATACATATGAAGTGCAGCTGTATTAGATCTTAATCTTAGGCTTCAGTGCCTTGTGATTGCAGGGGAACACAGTGGAGCTACCAGAGGAAGAAAACACACCAGAGAAAAGGGTGGACCGTATCTTCGCTATGATGGACAAGGTGAGGTCCTTACACATATAGAGCCTATTTACATATGTCTTATATCCAGATAATGGCCAGATGTGAGTCTAAACATATTACATCAGTGCTACTCAGAGATGTAATTCAGAGAATTCTCTTCTGGATTTCTCTTGAAATAATGCCAGACACCACTAAATTTTTTCTATGCAGAGAGAAAACAGCTCCAGTTTTATCAATGCTTAAAAGGCTACAGAAGCTCTTTCATACTGCTCATATTTTATCATTATTCATAACAACATACACTATATGTACAACAGTATCCAGACATCCCTTCTAACTTTATAAATGTATCTGTTTAAGGTGCACCCATTAGTAACACGATTGCAGACACACAGCTTGTGTAATCTCCATAGAAAGCACCGACCAATAGAAAGGTGCACCCATTAGTAACACGATTGCAGACACACAGCTTGTGAAATCTCCATAGAAAGCACCGACCAATAGAAAGAGACACTCTGGAGCAGCTGCACATGAGCCTAAGGTCACTATGCTCGATCCTAAATGAGGGTATAAAGCTCCCTACTGAGCAGTACCACTGTGTTTTCTGGAGTGATGGAGCTCCATCCAATACCTTTGGGGTAAATTAGTGGTCCGGGACTAATCATCCAACATCAGTACATGGTCTCACTCAATGCTCTTTTGGCTGAATGCAATCAAATCATCACAACAGTGTTCCAAAATCAAGAATGAAGCCTTCCTAAAACAGTAGAGGCTGTTACTGCAGCAAATAGGGAGACATACAGATCATTGATAAACTTAATTTTGGAAGAAACATTGGCAGGTATCAACAAGCTTTTGAACATAAAGTGTCAGTTTCCCAGAAAAGGATTAAGCCTAGTCCTGAATTACACAACATTCTGAATGGAGATTCTCCATTGGAAGAAAAACATAGTCCTGGACATAATCTCTGACCTGGAAACTGATCCATAGTGTGGTTCCATTTGGAAGTAGTAAATATTATGTTTGCTTGAAGAAACAGATACATTTATACTTGGCCAGCTGCATCTCCAGTGTGTCTCAAACTACCTCCTGAAGTGTCTTAGCCATCAGATAGCTATTTGTCTCCAATGTGTCTTGTTTGCAATTACACTTTTCATCATCAGAGAGCTAGCCAATCAGCTCAGGACATATGAAAGGGCTAAGTCTAAATAGGCTCATACATAGATGTGTGCACAAAAAATCATAGGGATTTCACCTAAAAATAGTAAAAGGAAACTAAATCATTGGAGGAATAGGGAAATCCTCATGCATTGCTGTGAAAAAGTTATAGAAAGCTTTTGGCTGCAGTTGCTGCTGTTAAAAGTAAAACGTTTTTTAAGTTTCCTTCAATAAAATAAATGATCATCTAAAAACTGTATCTTGTGTTTCCACATGTTCTAATTGTCTTATACTACATTTTGTATGAGGAGCTGAAACCATTTAGTGTGACATATGCAAAAGACAGGAAATCAGGAGGGGTCAAATACTTTTTCACAGCACTGTAAATGAAAGCCTCTCAACTTGATTTAAAAAATAAAAAAACTCCCACAACTATCCTGATTGCCTGCATTTCATTTAAAAAAAATCATTTTGTCCATGGCCTACAAATGCCATTATTGAGAATGTTGATATGCTATGGCTATCTCACACTTCAGCTTTCCAAATGTGGTTATTCATTATCTGTCTTATAGCTGCCTATATTGATACTCACTTAGTGGTCATACTGAATGACTTAATCCTTGTGTTGCTTCATGGATAGGCAGAGCTCTGCGCAAGAGCCATGAAGTACAGATTATGCAGAAGACCTGAAATGAACAGTCCGGCCTCTCTCATGGGACACTGGTCTAAATAGATTTTAAAATTGAAGGAATTTTAATTTCTTGATTAAATGGTAACAGTTATCACCACTACACACATCTGTGTCACTGTTCCCAAGCCTGGTGACTGTCTGGCCTGAATTTAGAAATTGATCATTTGTGTATACAGTCATATGAACATTCTAATGCACAGTTATTGTTTGTTTGCTGAATTTAATATATTCAGCAAATAACCCAAGTACAAAGTTTTCATCTGCGTTTGTCGCAAACTAAAATGACTGTCACATGTCACAATTTTTCAGCTTTATTGTTGTGTATATGCCTTTATTAAGAGCTTTTCTACATGTGTAGCCATCTGACTGTCTAAAGGCTGTAACATTTCTATAGCCTACAAGAATGCAATTCACATGATTGTTTAGGTCAGACCTCTACTCCATTCCTTTTTTAATTATAATATTTTTAAAATGCAATAACTAGAAATTATTTGACTTATAAATTATACAATCTGTAAAACCTGGATAAAAGGTTGACGCAAGATTCACCAGGGAGGCTTTTTGTGCTACAACAACAAAACTGTCGGCTATTCCGGTTTATTTCTCCCTCTGAAAATACCTTTTAAATTATTTAATCATTTATTACATTACATTTTTATAAAAAGTAACAAATATTTGCTTAATATTTAAAAATACATTTTTAACCACATTTATTAAATTAAAACACATTTTGGATTACAAAAGCTTATTTTACATGCGCTGTCCTTGAGAGCCTTGAGGCTGAAGCTTTAGCATAGATGGAAAACAGTTGATAAGTTAAGCTAGTTTATTACAGTAGCCTTATTTGGTAGTTTATAGTGCTGAATAAAAGTAACGTGCCGCAAAGCCAACCACAATGAAGAAGTTTTATTTTGCACTGTAAACTGTTTTTTGTCAGTATTAGATAAAAAAATCCCCCTAACTTATTAACAGTGTGGGATCATTAAAACACTGGCTGCATCCGAAACCTCAAATCACCATACTAAATGGTATGTCAAAAAAGTACACCACCAATAGAAATCCGTTCATTAGTGTAGTTTGTGTAGTATAGTAATATGTGGTTTTGGATACACCCACTGTGTTTAACGATAATGTCTGAGATAGTGAATACTCGTGGCAGACCACTGCAAAACATTCAGAACGTGATGTTAGGTAACACTAATAGATTATAGGCTATTAAAGACAGTATGATAAAAAGCTGTTTGCCCAGGGCTGCGTGAGAGTAAGGTTGACATTGTGTTCACTGTAAAAATATCATGCACACCACTGTTTTACAGCATTTCCTCAGTGGTTTTACAGATTTGAATGTTCTCCATTGCTTTCACCAGAACGCAGATGGGATGCTTACACTGCAGGAGTTCCAAGAAGGCTCCAAGGCAGATCCGTCTATTGTTCAAGCACTGTCACTCTATGATGGCCTTGTGTAGTACAGCTCACAGTGAGTAGAAAGCATCCTTCTGCTCTTCACTGATCGCTAGGATCTCAAGCACAGCTCTGTTACAGTGTTCTGACCAGCATAAAAGCTCCAACTGTTGTATAGACAGAAACTTTCAAAGCATTGTACTGCGTGACTGCATATGGTCACTTTTGCAAGGAAACCTTGTATTTTTAGTTACATAGCAGGAAAATGAAAATGTTCTTAACATTTGTTAATGTCATTTGGAAAACTGTAAAGGTTTGCATGTATTTTTAAAGTTTATCATGAAATGTTTACACAGTATGTCAGCTTACATTTTCAAACAATGTAAAAGAAATTTAAATAATACAGGTTTTCTCATTACAACTACAATATTCTACAGTACCAAACAGTATACATCAGCGTTCATCTTCAATACATTTTAATCAATAATACATTTTTCAGTGTGATTGACTGAGAGGCATTCTGTGAGTGCCAATATCTCTCAACACTGCACTTTTAAACCTCTTTAAGCATCCCTTCACCTTGTATACCTGTTACATAGCAATGGCCACCAGCATGTGGACCATTTCATTGACCTTTTTTCTTTACCAATTGTAAATTAACTTTCTTGTTAGTTAAGTTTTATGTCATCATTGTCTCAAAAGCTAAATATACACCGATCAGGCATAACATTATTTTCCTTGTTTCTACACTCATTGTCCATTTTATCAGCTCCACTTACTATATAGGTGCACTTGGTAGTTCTACAGTTACAAACTGTAGTCCATCTGTTTCTCTGCATACTTTGTTAGCCCCCTTTTACCCTGTTCTTCAATGGTCAGGACCCCCATTGACCCTCACAGAGCAGGTACTATTTGGGTGGTGGATCATTCTCAGCACTGCAGTAACACTGACATGGTGGTGGTGTGTTAGTGTGTGTTGCGCTGGTCTGAGTGGATCAGACACAGCAGTGCTGCTGGAGTTTTTAAACACCTCAGTGTCACTGCTGGACTGAGAATAGTCCACCAACCAAAAATATCCAGCCAACAGCGTCCTGTAGGCAGCGTCCTGTGACCACTGATTAAGGACTAGAGAATGACCAACACAAACTGTGCAGCAGATGAGCTTTCGTCTCTGCCTTTACATCTACAAGGTGGACTGACAAGGTAGGAGTGTTTAATAGAGTAGACTGTGAGTGGACACAGTGTTTAAAAACTCCAGCAGCACTGCTGTGTCTGATCCACTCGTACCAGCGCAACACACACTAACACACCACCACCACGTCAGTGTTCCTGCAGTGCTGAGAATGATCCACCACCCAAATAGTACCTACTCTGTGAGGGTCCATGGGGGTCCTGACCACTGAAGAACAGTGTAAAAGGGGGCTAACAAAGTATGCAGAGAAACAGATGGACTACAGTCTGTAATTGCAGAACTACAAAGTGTACCTATATAGTAAGTGGAGCTGATAAAATGGACAATGCGCATAGAAACAAGGAGGTGGTCATAATGATATGCCTGATCGGTGTATATGTTATATCCATATTTTCATTGCCAATGTTTTTTTCTAACAAACTTTTTTTCTTATTGCAGGTCATCAAGACAGTCCATTTTTGCCATCCTGCTTTTCTGTGTGGGAGGGAAACCGATGTGTCCCTTGCTTTTCCATGCTTGCTTGGACTAGGCACTGCACTGGTGTGTTATGGGAATCATTTGTGGAAAGGCACCACTCAACTACTCATTTCGATAGGGAAAAAGGGGAAACAACAGGTCAAGATGATAACATGAATTCCTCCATCTTCTGCAGAAGTGTTTTGAAGTGGGTTGTTTTTTGAACTCTAGCAAATCCATTGAACTGAATGAATTTCCTTTGAAGGAGAGAGCAGAACACGTACACGAGAGCAGTTACTGAACTGTTTGCCTTCTGTAAATGCAGTGCACATGTATAAAAATCTGGATACTACTGAATACCAGTGGACCTGCCTGGTTGTGATTTTGTTCAGTGATGCAAAATGAGTTGCACTCTGTGGAGCCTTCAAACAGTCAGACAAGCCACAGCATCGCACATATGCCATAATACGACAGCCTCTCCATGCAAATACACCAATTATGTTTAGGTGATGAACTATTGGAATAAGTGTTGTGGACAAAAAAATTCAATGGTATTGAAGCCTGTAAATGACTGGAACTGGCAAGCCAGTCTTTCTGAAGGTGTTAAGAAGTGATGTTATACTATATTTACTTTCAAGTATGCAGAAAAGCATCCGGTATTTATTTATTTGCCTATTTATTTCATTGTTTTGAGCTGTTTTAAGGCATTTCATTGCACAGTGATATATCACTGATATATTTTGTGGTGTAAAATACGACGGTTCTGTGATGCTATTGTGATCATATTGGCCCGTGTGTTTTGCATTTAATTAACACTGGTGGGGCAAATCGGGTCCCTTTCTGCAGGCTTGCTCTAATCCTTAGCTAATGAACCACTTCAGAAGTTTTCTTTGTACTACAGCACAGTATTTGCCTATACAGCCCGTTGTACAGCATGAAACCCCGAAGTGTTGTATGCTTGAATTGTTCAAGTTTCTGTTAACGTGACATATTAGGAAATAATTTGATTCTCATTACTTGGTGCTCATACCTCACATTACATTTGTCTTTTTTAATCTGATATCCCCAGTTTGTAAAAATAAAAACAATGTTGAAGGTATTTTCCAGTAGCCTAAAAAAAACTTCATCTCAACTCACTGTGGGAGAATGACTTGGATTTCTGCTTTTGCTATGTAAGAACTCACTACTGGCACTTGTATTGCTATCACAGTCGCTTAGGTAATGGCAAGATTGTGCATACAATCACATTGCACCTTTTGTAGTGGTATGTGTTTACTGAGGTTCCTCAATAAATCAAACCACCACTCAGTACATCGCTCTGGGTCTGTTACAGTGGGAGCCGGTATGAAATGTGAGGAGAAATCAAGGATGAGGATGTGCTAACATATTTGAACATACAGTACTGTACAAAATTCAGAGACCATTTATTTTATTCCGTGTCAAAACGGTAAAAAAGCAGAAAACCTTTATATTTAACAGAATATTACACAGAAGCCACAACAACTAAATATAATACACTTGTTTTCAGTGTGGCCACCTTTGCATTCTATTCTTTTCAGGTGACGTGCTTTCAGTTTTTTAAAGAAATCTGCAGGGATATTTTTCCAGACCTCCAAAGTTCAGTCTTAGAGGTTGCTTGCAGTTTCTGCTTCTCATAGTCAAAGTAATCCCAAACACATTCAATGATGTTGAGGTCTAGGCTCTGGTGGCTAGTCAATTGTTCTGTGAGCACCAGCAGCTTCTTTGTTTGAATTGCAAATTTTCTCCTTTTTTCTCTATTTCCTTTTCTCAGTAATGACTTCCTGACAGCTACACGTCCTTTCAGAACCATAGTTTCACTTTCTCTTTAACTCTACCGTTGCTTATTCATGTTGAATGGAACCATAGAAATGCTCCAAAATAACTTGTTTTTGGAGAAATTACATTATTGAGGATGTTTCCTGCCGATTTTCTGACACTGAAAAATGAGTAATTGGACATGAAGAAATGAATAAATTTGTACATGGCCGATTTGACTGGAAATGAAATAAATGAAAGGGTTGTCAATGATTTTGCACAGTACTGTAGTTCCAATTGTTTGAGCTGTCCTGTGTGAATGAGCAAAGCAGCAATTGTTTAAAGTTCAAGCCTCTGCCGCTGTTACTGGTTTGAGGGGGAAAAAAAGGCATAAACATTTTATTGAAAATACCCCCACATAGTCAATATCGGAAAGGGCTTATTGCCCAGGTCTACTAAAGCTCTTTAAACAGATGCTTCTTTACCTGTATGGGTTAACTATTTTTAAACTGCTGGACATATGCTCTCTTTTTGCACCTCGAAATCCTGCTTTGGCATACTAAAATGAGACGAACCAACACCATCAAAATTCCATTTACTCTCCATGCCAACATGGGTAATTAAATCAAACATCATATTTCTCATCCTCTCTTGGTGTAATGGTGTAATGGACATATATATATAAGAGCCAAGGCTTCTTGTCATGTTGTTAAGCTGAATGGATAATTATGCGTTTTGCTATCAGTTTTTATTATAATGGGTATCCAGTGCTGATTAATTTTATGCTATTGGATATGATTTTACTTCTGATGCCTCTTTTTACAAACCAATTAAGTGCAACGTACAAATGGTAAGAATGCATAAAAATTTTTGTTTGTAGCGAGGGGCTGTCAACTCTTTAACTGATAGATTGAGGCAGATCACCTCAGCGCAACAGGCTCCTCTGTTTAGGTTAAATTTGAAGTATTTACTGAATGTAAAACTACAGTATGCTAAGTAAAGAATAATTCACTTGAATGTCTTACAACCTTCAAATGTTTGTGCTTAAGGCAGAGTAGCTTAAAGAAGTGTTAAAGTCAACCCGAAATCACAATTGAACTTTATTCCCTTGGTAGTTAATGCTCCTGGTGGTATTAAGCATAATTTATCAGACAAATTTCTTTTCTTTTGTTTTCCCATGATCTTCCATCAAAATGTGGTAAATTTAGCCCACTTCTAAAACATCACATTGCACCAGCAGGGGGGAGAAATAATATTAATCAATAGTATCATGTTTCACCTCCCACTACCCCCACTTATTATCAAGAGAAAATACGAGGATTCGTTTATTTATTTATTTATTTATTTTCAATTTGAGGAGCTGTTTTCTGCTGTTTTCCAGAACTAATGCAATTAATGTATTAGCATAATGTGGCTAAAGGTCAACTTCAGGTGTACAGTATCGTCTTGGCTGGCAAAACCTGATAAAAGTTTATTTAAAGGGCCCATGTCCAACATTATTCTTGTATTTTTTATTTCTTCCCACTTGTTTGTGTGATACTATGTACCAAAAACAGTTATAATTAAAATTTTCATAGCCATTTTACAACTTCCTTTTATCCCTTAGAATTAAACAAGACTGTTTTTGTCATTGTGCCTTTAAGACTGGTATATAGGTGGCCTGAGCAGGCTATAGCCATAGCACATTTAAATGTTCTATTTAAAAATGTTAAATTAATATTGGACATTCTGGTGCCGCAGAATCTCAATGATCATGAGATTTCTCACAAATGAAGGACATATTACTCAGCCACATTTGAAGGATCCTACACAACGGAACAGCCTTCAGTGACGTAACAGCTGACAAATGCAGCGTTCCTTGGCTGCATCCTTAGACTTGAGACATGGCTAACATTTATAACTTAATTGTGAATAGGCGGAGCTGAACTACTGTAGGCCAAAAAGGTGGATTTATGTAAATGTGATAATTTGCGCAACATCAAAAAAAGTGAATTCAGAACATGGTATTTTTGCAGCTTGCAGTGGACAGTGAACAGTATGTTTCGAAACTTCAGCAATATATACATACTACATCTCTTTTATTTGAAAAAAGTTTGTTTTCCAAGATATGGCCTTTAACATTAATAATGTCACACTTCTAGTCACAGTTCAGTTTAAATAACACCTATTTTATATCATTATATATTTCTTAGACTTTTATTCATTTTTCCAAAGTTTTAATTCACTTTTCCTACGATTACAGCACCCATACTTCCTACATTTATCAATAGAGCCATTTTTGTAAGGGAGATGTGTGATCAAGAAGTACTCATTTTGAAGTTTAAAGAACCTCAACATAATGTAACGGTGCTAGGAAGAACAATTAAATTGGCATAAACCTTAACATTATGTGAAGATTCTTCAAACCTTTAAAAGGTTTTGCAAATCTCTTTTTCAAATATGCTTCTGTAGCATCGCTCAAAGAGCCTTTTTTGACACCTTTATTTAGTCTTACTTCCAATCCAGAGTATATACATATATATATATTTGTGTATACAGTGGGCCACCACATCTATGCTTTTGACTGACAGGCCATCAGGTTTAATGGGGGACATTGTTACAGGACAGCTTCACAAACCTACAGACTCCAAGATGGGGTCCAGTCTCTCCTCCATAAACCCCACACAACCTGGCTTTTCTTTTAAGTGTTGTTCTGGCTGTTCTAGGTGTTTCTTATTTGCTGTTTTACCGTTACTGTTCTAAACCATGTTCACTGTTTCTGGCAGAAACAGAGGTGGGTATTCCCATCCAGCTGACCATGACTTCTGCTTCATTTAATATTTAAACCAGCGAATGCAGTTAAATACTGCCAGTAGTAACAGTATTTTGTGCTGAGCGTCATTTGCACCACCACTGCCACAACATGGAACACAGTGTTGTAGATTTATTCTGCTTACCATAGGCTCTCTACTGCTTCCTAGCCTTTGAGACATTAATTAGGGTTCAAGCATGCAATGCATTGAACCCTATTGTAATTGTCAAAATTTTTCTTCCTATTCCTTTTCTTCCCTGAAAAGTCCTAGAGACTTGAAACTTGGTCAAGAGGTAGTAGTCCCTCCCGCTACTCAGGCGCAAGGAATCAGCCCAGTCGGCCACAAGGGGGCGCTATAGCGCAGGTCAACGCGTTTGGGTCTATAACTCCTAAACCAGATTTTTGCCAGACAAGCCATAATTTTTTCCTGGTTCCTTGGGTCCAAACAAACAGCTTTGCTGTTTGGACCATTTAGCTCCACCCACTTAGATTTTGAGCTAATTTGCATAATATGCGAAACCTACTTTTGCGAACTAGTCCTACAATTTTTGCCCAATCCTCATGTTTTTGGTGTCAAAAAATTCAGAAGAGCCTGAAGGTCAATAATTATCAAAAACATTTTGACTTTTCTAAACAACATGGCTGTCATATGCAAATGAACCCTTCTGGATAAATTCAAAATAATTCAGAATTAATTTAAAATTCAGTAACTCGACAACCCTTCAGCCAAAAAATTTCAAACTTGACAGACACATTTGGGAGAAGATTCTGAGATAGCCATTCGATTTTTGTGCGCATATGTCATTAGGGGGCGGAGTTAATGCTACATGGCTGTTTCTCAGCATCCGTACATCCGATTGAGCTGAAACTTTGCACATACCATCTGTTGGCCAGACTATAAGTGAATCCATAAGGACAATTTGATTAATTGAAGTACATAGTCGCCATCGGCCAATAAGCATTTAGCAGGCTTTTGGCAGGCTTAACATTGACCAATCATCATGAAACTTGAATGATCTCTACATATAGCCACTTTCTAACAATCAATAAAGTTTGAAAAAATTTGACCACTGGGGGGCGCTGTTCATAAAAATTAACATATTATTACATATTATTACTATTTTATTACAAGTTTGCTTGAACATCCTTGTGTATCATATGTAGTATGTTATTTTTTTTTGTAATCGGTAACTGTTTAAAAGCCGTACTTTTCGAACTAGTCCCTGGATTTTGATCCAATCTTTTCAAACTTGGTCTGGAAAAATTCATGCATGTGTAGGTAAATATTTATCAAAAACATTTTGACTTTTCTACTCAGGGTCGTTTGGATCAATCAATTAATTACTGCGACCATGGCATTGTTAGCTTGATTAGGTATAACTCAACAGTCATTGGTCAGATCCTGTCCAACCTTTAAGGACCTTTACATATTTGGACTGTAATGGTGTATGCCAATTTTGGTCCAGATTGGCCTTTAGGGGGTGCTTTAGCACTCAAAAACACTTAAAAATCAATTGAAATGCTATTACAATGTTATTACAAGGTCGACAGATAAACAAATGGTGCCATACAACTCAGGTCATTCACATGAACAACTTTGTAAGTACATGTTCTGTCACAAATTGTACTGTTTGTCTGGTATTTTGGCTTAATCATTCGAAGACTACATTATATTAAGGCTTATTATACAAAGGTCAAAAGGTCAATCTGACCAAAACTTGGTAACCATCTTTGGATATGG